CATAAAGACGTAATATTGACAAATACAGCCAATTGTTTATATTTTATGTATGAATATATGAATTTTTTTCTAGATATTTAATGAAATGGAAAATCACATTAAACTACTTTCAAATTTTTGTAGAGTTTATGAAAAGAAAAAAAATCTTAGATTAAAGTCAATAGGATCTTTCAAAGATGTTTTAATGTATGCATATAACATTAATATTGATTTAGACAATGCTCAAATCCATCCATCTAAACTTTGTATAAAGTGTTATATGAAGTTGTATCATATTCGCAAACAAAAATTTAAGAAGGATTTCACACCTATGTTGTCATACCAATTTCAACAACATAATGACGAGCAATGTGATTTGTGTAAATCTAAACTGTTCGGAAAACACAAATTGGCTAATCCTATAAAATTTTATGATCTGAAAAAAGTTGCTGAGTATTATAACGTTTTTAAAGTGTTTTAATAAATTTGTATCTATTGATATGCAAGATTATGTTTTGGCGTGCAAAACAATTACGCTGGTTGAAAATGAAATATGGACATTACATATTTTCGACAAATTGATTTCTAAAGAAAATGAAGTACTTAGTCATTTGCCAAAATTTCTTAATAAAAATAGTGCTGCTGAAATTTTTTCTTTCATTAGTAATGCAAAAGTTTGCTCTGGTAATGATATGCCTAAAGTAATTAAAAATAAAATAATTAACCTAACTTCAAAAGAAATCCATCCAATTTTGAAAAAAGATCTTGGGATTATTGAAACTAAGTTTATGAACAGTTTGAATGATTTTTCCATCATTAGATCAACCAAGTGTTCTTTTTTGATAAATTCTAATGACAGTAAAGTGAAATGTGAAAACTGTACAAAAGACATGAATTCTCTTGTTAAATACAAATCACTTTCTACAAAATGTATAAATAAAAATAAGAAAAAATATAATAACAAAAAATGTAATAAAAAAAAGCAATTATTGATTAAAATAAAGGAACTGCAGCGAAATAAAAAAGTTGTAGCTTCTAGAACTTCTAGTTTGAAAAAGAAAGTTAGAGATTATTTCAAAAAGGAAGGTGTTTCTGTAGATCTTCAAACAAATGAATTGTTACAGGAGAAAATCAGAAGTCAATCAGCTACACCTTTTAAAAAAGATTCATCACAGTATTTTTTCTGGAAGCAACAGGTTATTCAATCTTCCTTCAAAAATAGTAGAGCAATGATTTGGCATCCATTAATAATTAAATGGTGCCTTAGCATATATCTTAAAAGTCCAGGCACTTATAAACATATTCGTTGTTCACCATTTTTATTTTTGCCATGTAAAAATACTCTTTTGAAATATATCTACTTCACAGATCCTAGTTGTGGATTCAATGTTGATATAATCCAGCGTCTCTTTGAAACATTAAAACCTTATGATATGAAAGAGTCTGAGAAAAATGTAACTTTGATATTCGATGAAATGAAAATAAAAAGTGGTTTAGTGTTTTGTAAAACAACTGGGAAAATGGTAGGGTTTACAGTGATGGGACCTATTAATGATACATTAAATGAATTTCATAGAAGATTTGAGAGCAGAGTAAGAGAAAATGATTCTGAATTAAATCTTGCACAGTATGTTGTTGTGTTCATAGTAAGAGGAATTTTTTCTTCTTTATGTTATTATTTTGGACAATTTGCTTCAGAAGTTTTTAATAGTGACCAGATATACTCTTGTACATGGAATGCCATAATGATCTTAGAGTCTATTGGTCTTAAGGTATAAGACCCCTCAAAAAAAAAGTTATTAAAAAAAGTTTTTTAACAAAAAAACAATTTTATCTTGAGAAACAACTCGATAAAAGGATTTAAAAAAATACAAAATAAATTTATTAATTGTCATGGCTACCAAGCAAAATGGCCGACATTTAAAAATATTTAAGTTACCCCGGCCAAGCTATCTCAGTAACTGAAAGCATGTAGGTAATGAATTTTTGGCATATGATTAATAACATATTGATCTACAAACTGAACTAAAATTATTTAAAAAAACTTAGTACTTGACCTGTAATGAAATTTTCAAAATGGCGTACTAAAAATATGATTTTTTTGTAACTTGAAACTTCTATAAATCAAAAACTCTAAAATCAAAAACTCTAAACGCAATAAACATTTGGTGAAAATTTCATACAAATTTAACTTACGGTTAATGAGATAGGATGGCCGGGAGGTCAAAAATTTACATTTTGAGAAAAACTCGTTTGAATAATATATTCATAAATTTTCATAATATTTTCTCTCGTATACTCAATTGAAAAACTTTTATTTATATGAACATGAATCAGGGTCATAAAGACAACCTTCTTGATCATTCTCTGCATCATCCTTATTTTTTTTGCATCCACGAATAACTTTTCGTCGCTTTTTAGATGTAATCCGATTTTGATATTCTGCAAAAATTAAGCGCTTTTTGTTCATGGTTAAACAGCCTTGGAGAGTATAAATACCAGGAATCATATTCAACTTTTCAAACAAAAGTATGCTTGCTTTTCTTCCAATATTAAAATTTGAAACAGCATCATAAACTCCTAACTCCAACTGCGTTAATGAAACATACTTTGTTTTAGGTATGCGCTGCCATATCATTCCATTAAAACTTTCATTCTGGTTTTGGTTTACCATGAAGGCATTTTTTTAGGAGTTCTTCTTGAGATAAATCTATATATATAGGCTTAAGTTGACTGACAACTGAGAATGGAAGACCAGCACCTGGCTTGTAGGTAGACGTTAAACTACATGAAACAATGTTGCAAGTATAGCCTTTTTCATATCTTCTAAATCATTGGCATTTTGCCTAGCAGCAATTCTATAGTAGTTTTGTAGGCGATCAATTATAGCATTTGTTAATTTGCCTTTGCCTCCAAGTCCTTTTACATTTTTTTTCAAAATTCGCAATCTGCTACCAACACGTTTCTGTACATGTCCAACACACTCCAACTTACACACTGTTATACCAGTATAAGTATCTTTAACATACGAATAGCTTTTACAATCACCGTCACCATAATACTTTACATACCTCAGTTTATTTTGTGAAATAGAACGGCTAAATATTCTTTGAGCGCCAGTTACTTACATTCCAGGAGCAGAGCCACGATAATTTAGTTTACATACATGTGATGATTTCCAAGCTTCAAAGGCATTTGGGCTATTTTCGTTAAGTTTTAGTTTTAAACTACATGCTTTACATGATCGACTCATTGGTTCACAATCAAGAATTTTACCTGTGTCCATTGATATAGTAATAACCACTCCATTTAATGAGGAAAATCTACGACGTTGCCAGCTACCATCAACTGATACTGCAGTATCAACAATATTTGAAGAAGATTCACAATTATCTTTAACAGCGCCAGACATTGTTTCTTTTGCAACAACTTTAGCACAATCAGAGACATGTTTAATTATTTTGTTGCAGGTAACATTGTTATTAACAGGAGCTACTGATAAAGTTGAATTGTTTGTCAAATTTTTAGTATACCTATTTCCATGAAATCTTCTAGATTTTTTACTTTGAGTACTTTGTTTAACTCTGCATGATTTACCCATTATTGAAAAAGTTTATCAAATAACACAAAAATAACTAAATAGCTGGCAATTCTTATAAAAAAACCGTTGCTATGCGTGTTGCTAAGCAGATCAAATTTACCCAGTTGAAGGAAACCTTTTATATCTCAAGAACTAAGCCTTATTTTTAAAAAAAGTTTTCAAATTCGGATTCAGCGATAAATTTCGTGTAAGTAATACACAAATTATTTTTTTTGAATTTTTTAGGAATTTTAAGGGGTTTTATACCTTAAGGTCAGGGCAATAGTTTCTGATGGAGCAACACGTATTAGAAAATTTTATAATCTTCATAAAATGGATGACTCCAGCAACATGACAGAAGGAGTAGTTTAATGGACTTGGAATCATTGTGTTTCATGTAAAAATCAAGTTTTTAAAAATTGAATAAATTTTATATTTAATTTTTTTATGTTTTTAATTATTCTTTATTTTAAATAGGAAGAAAATTTTTTTTTATCTGTGATGTACCTCATTTATTAAAGACTGCAAGAAAAAATTTGGAAAATTCCGACTGGAACAAAAAGTCAAGGAACTTAATGGTACTTTAGTTTTTAATTATCAATTCAATTTATTTTGGATTTTCTCTTTATTTAATTGAAATAACTTTAATTTAAAACTTATTACCTCAGTATCAAGGACAATAATTAGTTTGGCACCAAATTATGAGTTTATATGAATGGGATGTTGGTTTTTTAAGGGATGCCCCAGGACTGCGTATGGGACACAAACTTTGAGATAAACTTATAAACTTAACTCCTCAATCGAGAATGCGTGTAAACCTAGCAGTGCAGGTATAAATTTAGTTGTGTGTATACTTAATATATTTCTGTTTAATAGAATTTATTGATGAAAGCGTAGTCGTTGAATATTGTCATAATTGTTTGCTCAAAACTAAACTTTATGATGAATGCTCTGTAAATCTTCCTAACATCCTTAACTATTACATTTTAGGTACTAAGCTCAACTGTTGCACACATGCTTGAAGAGCAAAATGATGAAAAAACTGTTTCACTTCGAGAATTTATTTTGTTCATGGATAAATTTTTTGATTGCATGAATGTTTCAAAGTTCATCAATAAAACAAGAAAGGATGCACTAAATCCTTATATTTCTGTTGAGGATCCCAGGTTTGAGGTATTTAAAAAAAAAAATTAAATTATTTTTGTACATTTATAAAGACTACATGCTATGGTATCAATAAGTTTATTTAAAAACATGCTTGAATATAGGGATGCAAGACCCAAAATGATTCTGGCCTTAAATCTTTATTTTTTCTTGGCCTCTGGTGTCTAAGAGCTCTGAAAGTGTTGAGTGACTTGTAATCTGCAATGAAAAAAAAATTCTTAAGTTTTTATGATTTGTTACCTAATATTTTTTAGCCCAGAGTCCTATATAAACTTATTTAACAGTAAATGTTTATATTAATGTGTATATGTACATATGTTTATATAAACATACTAATTTGTTGTTTTAGTGGCTATCAAAAGATTTTCTTGGATTTTTAAACGAATGGGAAAAATAATCAAATAGCATTTTAAATTTATCTAAAGAAGAACGGTCAAGGTTTTGTCTAAGCAGGCAAACTCTAAAAGGACTTAGAATATCTGGTGAGTTTTTATTTTTGTGTAATTTTGTGTAATGCAATAACATATATATAATAAATATGGTTTAACTTCCCTTTTTTGTCATAATTGGTTTTCTAGGCATTGCCTACTTTATAGAATAAAAAACTAAAAAATTTTATTGTAGCTCTAGATACTAGAGCTACAATAAAAATATTTAGTTTTTTAGATTGTAGCTCTAAATATAGATAGCTCTTTTTAAATAGTCAAGTAGTTCTAGTATGTTAATTTTTAAAAATATTTTATGTTCTAGTGCATTCATTTGTGGAATTAGGAAAGATCCTTTTGTTAGAAGATAACGTTAAATTCTTACTTTCTGAAAAATTTACTCAAGATCCGGTAGAGGAATACTTTTCCAAACAGCGGAGGCGTGGTGGCTCTAACGAAAACCCAACTCTTGAGGAATTCAACAGAAACGTGCTTGGTCTGAATGTTGCTGGAGATGCACTTGTACATGCAACGAGTGGAAAGTAAAGAGGTAGAGATAGGGAAATATTGAAAATTGATGTCCTTGATGAGACTCTACCTCGAATAATGCTTTTTTGTAAATAAAAATAATGCTTTTTGTAAAAAAAAATAATGCTCTTTTGTAAACTTTTTTTATTAGAATAATCAAATTTCCATTATTAACTGATAATTTATATTTTTCTTATTTAAATTTTTAACATGTAAATTACACTTATTATTGCATAAATATTTTTACAAATTTTTCACTCTTTTTATTTTGTAGAAAAATAAATTTTTAAAATCTTTTTATAAAATTTTTTTTCTAATTTTACTTCAATTAAAATCCAATATTTTAAAACCTTTTTATTATTTTTTCTTTGCAATATATATAAACAATAAATTTGTACTCTTTTCTAATTATAAAACACCAATAAGCATGATTAAACAGTGGAATTATTCTACGTTTTTATGGTTTGCTTGTCCCGTGCTTTTTTGAAAAAAAATTTTATGTATATATATACTTTTGTACTTTTATTTTTTACGTTTTCCTAATATATATATTAATAGAATAAAAAGATAGTACTTTCGTCCAACCAAATTGAAGCGTTTCAACAAATATCTTTTTTAAAATAAAATATCTTTAGTTGCAGAGTTGTTTTACAGAAAAATTCTACTGTCTCTTAAACTTATGCAGAGGCGACTCTTCAAATAAAATGAAAATGGAGTTAAAACATAAATTAAAAACAAATTTATTTATGTTTTAACTCGAAATAAAATTGGGGAAATTTTTCAATATATAATTCTATAAAAAACCTCCTCAAATATGAATATAAACTATTTAGTGATAATCTTTTTCCGAATGTTTTGGAATTCTTGATATTTTTTCAATTCTAAGTTACCGGAAGTTCTAAAAGTTTTCCGGATATGCAACTTAAAATATATATTTTTGTATTATACTAGTTTCTTTAACTTTTACCTTTATCATCAATACAAAATTTGAGAAAAATTTTATAAAAGGTAATAAAGCCTAAATTATTTTTAAAAAAAAATAGTTCTGGGTTTTTTACAGATAATTTCCGCTAAATATTTCCGGATTTTTAAACAATGACAGGGGTAATTATTATTCAGAATATACATTATACGGATTATTTTACATAACACTATTACTATAAAGTGAATAATAAACTTATACGATATATAATACCCAGTAAACTAAATATTTGAGACCTTAAAGTGACATGTTATACATTTTACTCTATTACCTTTGATATTCTGAAGTTTCAAATAAACGATTCTCCATTGAATTTTTTTGAAACATTTCGCGACGTTAGGAAGTAGTTTTAACTGAATGTTTTTTACTGTTGATCTGAGCCTGACAAGTTTGCATTGCATAAAGGTAAGAAAAATATTTTTATCCTTCCTGATTATTGGGAAAGTAGGTACAATTGCACCAACAATTATTTCCTACAAATAATTATGACAGAATATAAGATCTTTAACAATCTTTTGTTTCATTATTTTCTCTTTACTTTTATCGAAATTCAGATCTTTATCTTACTTATTAACTTATTTTAACCTTATTTGAATAGTATATAAATATAAATTTAATCTTTTAGAAATTTTAGCCTGCTGCGTTACATTACTGATTTACCCGAATTCAATATTAGGCTACATATAGAAAAAGGTTTTAGCACTTTTAGTAGAAATATAATCAATTGACCGACCTTTGTAATCTTAATTTCTTTCTAGACATCTGTTTAATTTTGTATATTTACTTTATAAATTCTTATAGTTTTAATTAAATGTTTCTTATTTTTCATGCATAAAGTAAACAGATTTATTCTGTCTATCGCCATTTGAAAAAATTTTGAAGTCTAAATAACATAGGGGTACAACAAACTTATTCTGTTTATTTTATTGATCTGCTTATTTGTACATTGAGTTGATGAATCAATTTTTTAAATATTTTTTAACAATTATTGTAACAAAAATTTACAAATACAAATATAAAAAAGACTTTTTTTTAGAAGTCAAAAACATGACACAAAATACAAAAATATTTTCTAAAACTGTCACTGATATATATATATATATATATATATATATATATATATATATATATATAGCGTTTTTCTTAAAGAAGGTTCGCTTTGATTAGATATATTAATTGACCTTTTTTTCTTGGCTATTTTTATCCAAGTATCAACAAACGATTTTATTCTTAAATTGATCCATCATGGCCTACTATATAACACGGCTGGATTTGTTGCCTTGAACGCAAAAAATTAGTGGGCCGAAAAAACACGAGTTTGAAGTTTACAATAAACCAATTTAACAATCTTAAGTTAAATTTTTTTAATTCAAGTAATACTTTATTTTGCAATGCCAAAAAAGTGTTGTGTTGTTGGTTGTAGAAGTAATTATAAGCGAAAGATTGAAGAATGTTCCAGTAACAGCAACCACGTAACATACAAAACTGTGTTTAGTTTTCCTGATTGCAATTATTTAGAACTTTCAAATTGTTGGATTACGCTTGTCAACCGAGCTGATTGGAGCCCCACAGAAGACTCAGTTATATGTATCGATCATTTTGAAGATAAATATTTGAAAAGAGGTAAACGTATAACATTGAATTATTGCGAAAATCCTATACCAACAATTATTACCAACCAAAACATCTTATCAAAGCCATCTTTAATTCAATCAAGCTCAGCTTTACGTAAGCCCCCTGCAGTTCGTATATATTCTCATCCTTTGCTCGATGAAACATACGATTTTAGAAAACATGATACAATTAAAAGCATTATAGATCTTAATGAAAGTTTTTGTCCAGCAGGATTTTCATTTAAACGAGTTGATAACCGTGTGTTATTTCTTCGAATTTATTTCGACGACGGGGATGTTACTCCTAACGTTGAGAGAATTACAATTAATAAAGACTTACATGTAAAGCTACTTATAAAAGGTATCCCATTACCTAAATGGTTTAGAGAAGGCAGTGTTTGTAAATTGACCAGTGCCAGTATGCTTGTTAGTTTTGTTTCTTATATGCACGAAGTTGCAAAGAACGTATCAAAAAGTGTATTATCAGATTTATATAAATTATCTCTTTATAAACCACAAGGACGTTCAATCTACAAAAATGAAATTATTAGATTTTCTCTAATGCACAGATATACATCAAAACAGGCTTATACTTTGCTATTAGAAGAGTTTCCACTTCCTTCGTTGTCTTATTTAAAATCACTTTGAAATGGTGGCATTGATCCATTATCAGGATTATTATTACTTTTGGAAAATGGTAGTATTAGTGCTGAATGTGTCGTTTTAATTGATGAGATGTATTTACAAAAAGGTGTCCAATATCATGGAGGAAGTTTAATTGGTGCTGATGATGATGGTAATTTCTATTTTGGTATAGTTGTGTTCATGGTGGTCAGCTTGAAAGAATCTATCCCCTTTGTAATTAAGGCCTGTCCAGAGTTTCAAATTTCTGGTTCTATGATTAGTTCACATATAGAAGAAACGTTAGAAACTTTATATAAAGCATCTTTTAATGTACGAGCTATAATAACTGACAATCATGCAACACATGTTTCAGCATTCAAAATTCTACGTTTAAAGTTTGGTGAACAAGATAATGAAATATATTTTACTTTTATGGGACACCGGGTTTACAGTTTATATGATAGTGTTCATTTACTGAAAAACATTAGAAAGAATTTATTAAATTCAAAACGGTTTGTATTTCCACCTTTTGATTTTATTGAGTTTGATAATATTATTCATGTTGAAGCTGGTGAAATTTCTTGGAGTTATTGCATAATGTTAATGAGAAAGATGAATTGTTACCTGCTAACTTAAAAAAAGCTTTAGATGTTTATGTTCAAGACTAGCTCAGAAAGTGTGTAATCATCTAAAATGAAACACATTGTTCCTTGGCAAATTGCCTTTTTTTAATTAAAAATAATGACCAACACAAACACAATAAAATCTGAGGGTAACATATATAATATAGAAACTGAACTTATTGAAATTCCCATTTAAATTAACGCTTTATGGAAAATTTGGAACGATCAAGTTAACGTTAAAGACGCTAACAACAACTATACAGAAGAAAAAATGACGTTGACTAGTTTTGTAGACATTTTAAAAAACGCTTATGGTACTTTTGGTACAAAGCTTCTCTACATTTTTCCATCGGCTATAGGTGTAGAACCTACAGAATTGTTTGCTTGCTTTTATCAAACTTTTTTTCCAAAAACAAGTCAAATAAAATATTATCGATTTACTTTACAAAACATACCGCTAGCTTCTTTACCTATGCCTTTTTTTAACGTTGATCAAATCATATGGCCTGAACGTGAATTAAAAATGATGGATATTTTTACTGAAAGTATAAATTTCAACTTGCCAAACAATTTACTTAATTTAAAGTTAAATAATCTTACTTTTAACGAATTTATTTATGAAGGTACTAATATCTACTTTTATCAAAAATTCCTCAATCAACACAATTTTTCATCCATTCCTAACGACTATTATAAAAATTATTATACTTTTTGGTGTTTACCTTCATTTAAGCGAAATACATACGAAATCAATTTAAAATCACCAATACAAATTTCTAAAGCTATAATCGCTCCAACAAATACATATAACAATTATTTTAAAATAAATTGCAACTAATTTCACCGTATCATGCTCAATTTGGCTCACTCAACACGTTTTCTACATCTCCTTCTAATTTATAAAATAATAACAGCAGATTGGACATTGATTGCTAAATACAATTCAAAAACATTTATCGAAGTTTTGGTTTATTGCGAACAAACTAAATTTATTATTTCCGCAACTTTAAAAGTACCTCTTCTTACAACGGCAGCTTTTGAAAGAGCGTCTACACCTAGTTATAAAACGTGGTTACACGGATCAAAAGCTATATTGCAAGGTAACAACTTTAACGAATTAGCATTTTATTACACTTCGCTCAACGGGCAATTTATTCATAAAAAAAATTGACGGTTCTGTGATTTTTTTTTTTATGAATAAATTTTATGTCAAATTCTTGGTCTAACAGTTTAC